GTTATCTGGGAGAAGGTGGGATGCCATGGATGCTGGCTCAGGCTCTGGGTTCAAGCTGACTGGTGGCTTTGTAGTGGGTGGAAGAGGGGGCAATGGGCCCAGTCCAATATGGATTTTTCTGAATCCATCCTTCCATTTGATCGTTGGGGCTCATTTGTCTAACCAAGCAAGTCCCAGTATTATTGATTCTGACATCTTTGGGGGCACTATGAAATGTATGAGTTCGTGATGGGGCCCTAATTCAATCTTGATTAATTCTGTCAATTGAATGGCTGCCCCCCCCAATTAAGGTTTCATCCACGTGCTCAAATCTGATTGGGCGTTTTAGCTTTATGCCCAATTGTTCAACCCATCTCTGCCCAGAGGTCTTCCTTGATTCTTCTGACCTCTAACAGCTGTATTAGGCTTTGACTGCGGAGCTTGTGGCACAGGAGTAGGGGCTAGACAGTTTGCTGCCCTATGACTGGTTTGGTCACATCAGTAACATTTCAGCACCCTGGTGAGTCGGATATGAGCAGGTTCGGCTGGTCCGGTCAGCGGTTTCCTCGCCACAATTCTCTTAGTCGGGGCTGCCGGAAGGGGTTTCCTGTGTGGGTTGATGTTGCGACCTAAGCTGAGGGAGGCAGTATACCACGACTGTAAGGTCTCTGGGATTTGCCTAATTTCACAGGCCTTCTTTACTTCTGGATCAATGGCTTTTTAAAAATAGTGTAAAGTCATTCTTTCAGGCCAATCCATGAGGTGGCTCGTGACCCTTCTAAAGTCCTGAATGAATTCTGACAATGGTTGCTTGCCTTGCCTCATTTCCATTAACTTCTCTTAAAATTCTCTGCTACCCTGTCTGGATTTTCAAATCTGAGTCTTAATAATTGGATAAATCCGTTTACATCGTGTAATTTGGGGGCTTGTTCATTGTGTAGTTGGGCCACCCAGTCTGAAGCATCCCCTTCTTTCATCCCATTTATTATGGCTGTAACCAGATTGCGCTCTGTAGCATATTGATCTCCAAATTGTTCTATATGGGATCGGATTTGAGTGAGGAAGTAATTGAAATGTTCGTGATGGCCTCAAAGGGTATTCAGTCCGGCCTGGGTTGTGGTTGCAGAGGTGGCACATGCCAGGCTCCTGCAGGTTGTACTGGAATGGAAGGAACAGGCCAGGTGGCGTACATAGGCTGGGTAGGCCCCCTGAATCCTGGCTGGGTAGTGCCTCTCTGGAATAGGGGTCCCTGTGGCCTTGCTTCTGGTTGGGGCTGCAATTGTGGTTGCCAGGAGGAAGATGGGTGTGGCCTGGTTCCCTGGTCAGGTGGAGGTGATGTGGCTGTTGTCTGCTGTCTGGGCAACCCCCCTTCAGACCAGGGCTGTGTTGGTGCTGGCTGCCATTGGCATTGAATCCACCCCTGGCCTGGATAAAATCCCCACCCTGGAGGGATACTCTCTGCAGGGGGCAAAATTCCTTCTGGGAAATGAGGGGATTGTCTCTGAGACTGCAACATACCTCTGTTAGTTGATGCTTCTTTCTAGCTTCCTCCAACTGGCATCTGTATAGTCTCCTTGTTCCTCACGATATTTGGGTAAGTGAATATGGGTGGTCTCAAGCTTCCACCTGTCCAAACAGACTGTGAAACCAAATCTGTCATCTTTAAATTCTGGAACTGTTGATGTAAATCTGCCCTTGATGGACTTCCAGGAATAATCTGGGGGTTGTCTTCTTGAAAGAAATACGACCCCAATTGTCTCTCTTCCCTCCAATCCGACAAAATAGCCATATGCCTGGGGCTAGAGAAAGATTTCTCTTCAGACATCTGGGTTACCTCTGGGTTATAACAACTTTTTGAGTTGAAACACTTCGGTATAGCTCCCAAATCTCTTTCTCCTACTGCCATCCTGAAAGCATCCATCATCTCCTCCAAACAAGGGCTGGGAGGTTCAATTAATGCTCCGGAGGGAGGGCCCCCACACGCTCCCCCCTGCACACCTCCAACTTCGACTGATTGCTGCTCTTTGTCCATTTCTGGGAAAAGAACTCCAGGGGCATCAGCCAAGCCCATTCAAAAAATAAAAGTTAGAGTTGGGAAATAAATGTCATTCATCCAGAAAGTATCCATGATATCAATCACTCCGAGATGTTATCTCTCCAATTGATTTATTAGGAACAGATCTGGCATGTTCAAAAGCAATTTCCCAAGTGAAAGTTTTTTGGCTCATTACACAGAACCCACCTTCTCTCCTCCCACTTCTACACTTCATAAATCACGAGAACCAATTAACTGCAACTAGAAATTCTTATTACGACACACAGAAGAACCTTGAACTTTTCAACTCCTCTAACTCTCTAAAAAATGCGGCAGCTGAATTTCAAAGCTGACAAAGTGATTTGGAACTGAATGTTCTTAATTGTATTAAGATTAATAGGTAAATGAGAGTTTTAATGTCTAAAGGAATTTCACACTGAAATTTTAGTAAAGGAAGAAAGTACAAAATACAGTATATATAGCTACTGAAGTAATTCTACAGCCATTTGGTACTGCTGTAGTGGATTACTTGGATCTGAAAAGGAACCAAACAAAGAGAACTTGGGAAAAGGAAATAGATCAATGATGATCCAACAGCCAGGTTTCTGAGTACTTGTTTGACAGCAAAGAAGAAATAGGATTAAAGTGCAGAGTCAGAGGAGGAGAGCCAAGTGGATCAATATTTCCCATTTTATATAACATGAAGATCAATGGAGATTCACCCATTTTCATTTTACATTTTGTAAAAAATTAATACAGAGCAATTGATCAGTAAACTGAGGCTATTTGGAGTAAGGTTTTAAAAGGTGTGGGGAATTCATATTTACAGTGAAATGGACAGTGGAAAGAGGTTGGGTTGTCTGAAGTTACTTATTCTAGCCAAGTTGTGTAAGACAAGTCATTCATGCTATTCACTGCTTCTGTTGATATCTTCCTATCTGCAACTTTATGCTAAACGAACAAGATCATGGGAAATTGTTTAATCTATAGATTCGTTTTCAAAATAGGACTACCACTATTTTTAATAGCAGGTAAGACATTTCCATTTTTGTTGTAATAAGGTCATAGGGAAAATAAGATTATGCATTTATGTTGTGTTAAGGTCATAGGGAAAAAATTGTGCATATTAGTGTGGAGTTAAGAAAATAATGAAACAGCTTCACTTTCAAATTTGGTTAGACACAGAACAGGTTTTCTTGTAGTATTCTCTTATGCTTATGCGCAGGTTTACATTTGTTCTGTAGGAATCAACAAAACTGCCTTGAGTCCTTCTAGATTCTACAAATTGTGTTTCTTGATTCTAGATGAAATTGTAGTGAAGATTGACCTGTTTTGAAATTATTTCTTATAATTTCATATTTACTAGAATGAATATAGATCAAAGATATAAAGACTGTGGCTTCTAATAGTTTCAGGATACTTTTATAATAGTTGAAACTGAAGAATTCAATTTTAGAATATGTAGATGAAATGGAGAAAATGACAGAAGAAGGGAATTAGACCTAATCAGCAGGATGGATAAGAATTGGTTGGTTGCTTAGGCTTAATATTATTTATTTTAAAACATATACTATCTATCATGTAAAGCAAACCCAGGGGGTGATTTGAAGGTACATGATATTAAGTACAATATAAAATAGAAAGGAAATACAGCGTGCACCAAGCAAAGCAGATACGCTCTGTAGCTGTGAAATATTTAGTACCGGTTTCAGTGAAAAACAAAATTGATGGGGATACTGGAATGCTTGTCCAAAAGGAACAGCTGGCTGGGAATGCTGTATATTTTTTCAGATTGAAAATTTACAGACTTTTCTATATTTCCATTAAAACATACAATTGCTGTTTTGTTTTGATAAGCGGAAACAATTACAAAATGTTATTCAAATCAGGGAATTCATTTAAAGAGGGTGGATACAGCTTTTAATTGAGTTTGTTTGGCTAAACTAGTAAGTGTTTAATCTGTTTAATCTATTTAATCTGGTTAGCGCTAGTTGGGAATTACAAGGCTTAAAACTTAAACCTTCCTAGGAAGAGACAACAGCAAATAACTTCTGCATTCTTGCCAAGAAATCAACATAGTGTGCCATTTGTCAGAAATAGTATAGGGTCTCCTGCTCGGGCAGGGGGTTGGACTAGATGACCCTACAAGGTCCTTTCTAATTCTGTTAATCTGTAATTTGTAATCATCAGAATCAACCTCAATTTGAAGAAAAATTTACTTTTTATAACCAGATTGGCAGGCTTGCTGGAAAATAGTGATTTGCCTGAGTGCAAGTGCATGCATGTTTATTTGTGAGGAAGTCCAACTAAATTCAATGGAATCTCCCATCTTTTTATGCAAAAAGGAAAAAAAATGCAGCCATCATTTAAAAGTACAATGGGCTTAGTTACAGTCACAAGTCTAGGGTTGAAGCAAAAAGTTTAGAAGAATAACTAAAGATGTGAAAGCCATTTTTATATGGAAAAAGTCTCATGACATAGGTAGAATATTATTATTATTTTATAATAATTAAAATTATTATTTTAATTATTTTAATTTTTAAATACTCTGTAGTGTGATTGTTATGTGGTGTTTGGGACACTGTGCTGGAGTAGCTTTCAAATTTCATTGTATTTGTAGAATGCAATGACAATAAAGGTATTCTATTCTATTCTAGAATAAACTATGGGTATATATGTGTGTCAAAGAACAAATTATGTGGTATGTTGAGAGTCACACTAAAAAGTGAGCAATATAAAAAGAGATGGAAAAGAGGATGGCAGGGAACAAAAGAAAGGCATAAATTAAAATGTAATTAAAATCATGAATAAATAAAATAAATAATCTTCAGAAGTGAAAGATGTGTTTATAAGCATTATTACACAAGGTACACTTTCATGTATAGTTTATATAACTTAAATTTTAATTAATGTATATGTAAAATCAATGTATTTACACTGGATATGCATTTTTTAAAACTTTCCTGCTATTGTTAGATAATCAGAGATGGTTTCAGAGACATTTATCACTGAATTGGCTACGTCAGCAGAGAGAAATCTGGGTGAAATCATTTGCATTTCAGAGAAAATGAACAGCTAGCTAATAATGTAAAATATTTTGGAACAAACATATTTTAAAAAGACAAATATTCAACTATGTTTGTATTCATTTGTCTTAGTATTATAGTAAAATTACACAAATTTAGAATAATATTTTGCTATTTTCACAGCTATAGGTTTCAGATACAATGGGCTATCTGTGATCTACCTCATCTTCCTGCTAATTCTCCCACTGTGCCCCAGACCAAATGATATTACAATGCAAGGTAGGCAAACATCCACCAAATCCTAATTCACCTTTTGATGACCTCCAGGTAGGTATTGATTAGTGTCCATATTTTACAGTCAATATTGACAAAGCCAAATGCCTACAGAATTCTGGGAATCATAAGTTTCAACCCATTGAGGGTGCCATGTTGACTATAGCATGTTGAACTACAGTCAGGTTAATTATAGTGTATAATTTAGTAATCTAGTAGTACTTTATGACTTTAACCACTAGACTAAATTAACTAAATTATATCATATATAATTTAATCAATTTAGTCTTGTGATTAAAGTACCAGGCTAGAAACAGGGCTGTAAGTTCTAGTTCCTTCCACCTTAGCCATGAAAGCCAGCTGGATAACTTTGGGCCAGTCACTTTCTCTTAGCCCAAGTCACCTGACAAGAGCTGGAGGAGAAAGGAAGTTAATGTTCACTGTCTTGAGTTATTTATAAAAATAATAAAGATTGTATGGAAATGAATAAGTAAAAGGTTGACTAAAGTGGAATAAACTGCTAGACTGCATCTTTTATGGTCTCTGATCTGCACTTGTTGCTTCTGCCTCAGAACATTTCCCACAGAATCTTTTAAATCACAATATTATTTGGATCATATTGAAGAGCCACAGCACTATTTCAATGTTGGTCTGAAAATCTGTGACTAATTTAATTTATCTACACATACTTGACTTTAATTGGCTTTAATTAGATCATAATTTAATTTTAATTAGATATCCCTTTATGATTAATTCCATTCTGGAAGGCAGATATTTTCTCTCTCATAAATAGTAGCATCATAATTTAGAAAGCAACTTTTTAAATTATAGGCTTTTACTCCTTTGTTGCATTTAAAAAAAAAGATTGTGTGATGAATAGAAATGTTTTATTTATTTTATTTATTTATTGAATTTATATTGAATGTTAATAATGTTTATCTTTCATTTTTGTCTTTCAGGGTTCACTGGGCACTTGCTTAGAACCATCAGCTATACCAGCTTCATTTTCCTTATGTTACAAGTGTCTTTTCAAATTGCTTTCTACTACTTACCACCTAATGGTACAGATCAGTTCAAAATTTCATGGCAATAATTTATTCTAGGGGTAAAAAGCAGGGGTGGGATTCTACCAGTTTGCACCTATTCGCTAGAACTGGTTGTTAACATTCTAAGCAGTTCAGAGAACCGTTTGTTAGAAGAAATTACTGGCCTAATCCTGTAAGGAAGACAGGGAGGAAACATTCTGGTGTTGCTTACAGAAACTGCCTCTCCGTTAACCCTTATTACATTTCTTGGCAGGACTAGACTTCCTGTCTCAGGAACATCTCTGGAGTTTTTCTCCCCTCCTTTGCTGGTACTTTGCTTGTGTGGAGTGACCATTCAAAGTTACAATGGCACTGAAAAAAGTGACTTATGACCATTTTTCACACTTACGACTGTTGCAGCATCCCCACAGTCATGAGAGGCCAGGCAAGGAGATGCGTGCCTCGATGTGATATTGAGTTGGCCACGCCCAGCCAATAACATGACCACCAAGCCACGTCTACCCAATCACATGACCACCAAGTCACGCCCACCACCTAAGCCACACCCACAGAACTGGTTGTTAAAAATTTGAATCCCATCCCTGGTAAAAAGCCATTACAACTAGAGATCAGACTTGGAATAATTTATGAATGATATTTTTGTTCAACATAATTAATGTTGATTCCTTAACCAGGAGTTTGTGTTCTTTGAAAACACCATCAATTAGAGCTGACTGAAATATTTGTAAACTCAAATAAAAGATTAAAACTAATTTTAACTAATGTAAAGTAAGAAACAGAAAAGAAGAAGAAGTCAAAGAAAAAGTTAAAAAAATCAGAAAAGAAGGTAAAAGTAAAGAAAAAAAGAGAGAAGAGAGAAGTAGCTTCCAATCTTCTTGATAGCAATCATAGGTAAAATTCTGGGTGGCCATTTTGAATTTCTCAAGTTTTAAACATTACCTCAGAGTGATTTGTTCTGAGGTGGTTTGAAATTTGAGAAATTCAAAGTGGCTTCTACATTATTGCTGTACAATATCTCTATAGAAAAAGAAATAGAAATAGGGTATAGAATATATTTTAGTATGCAAAGACTTGGCTTATGTGTGGTTTAGTAAGCTATCGTGTTAAGTTTTTTGAAGAAAGAAAGTCTAGAAGGTACTTACAGTTACAAAATAACAATGTCTAGTTCCATGTAAATTTATCTTTAAATCTGAATTACTGGGAAATTGTTTCTTGTATGTTTAGAATTTTTTTCCCTTTTCTGGAATCTTCCAAAAAAATCTTATAAAATGCTCAAGTTACTTTGTTCAAAAGCTAGACACAAAGATTTTTAAAAGTGTTATTTGGGGATAAAATTATTTTCTGATTTTGGTGATGTGAGGCCATTTGAAACTTATCAGAAATAGCTTATTAAAAACATTTGTTATTACTCATAGGGTTCAAGCCAAGCATGACTTGGATAGTGACATGTCCCTCATGTTTATACTGTATAAATTGATTTTAATTTGAATTAGAATGACATTGTTTTGCACTTATTTCTTTGCCAATTTCAAAATTCTAAGACATTCATATTTACAAACTGCAAATGTTTCATTTTAAAAGTTTTTGCCAATAACACAATCCATGTGTAAAATACACATCCCCAAACACACCCCAGTTCCACCAAAATATACATTTTTTAGTACAAACAATACGTTAAAATATTGAGGAATGGAACATAATGGCCGTTTCCAAACCAATGTTTTTTTCTTTTCACAGATTTTTTTGGGGAGGAAGTGCTGTCACATTTTGGTATTGTACGGTAAGATCTTAATTAAATTGCCTGATTTTATTGTTGGCATGGGAACTAGGCATCCATAGTTGAAAAAAGTCAAAATAGCAGCCATGAAATACAATTGAAACTCTGCTCATTTTTTATGTGTGCCACAGAGCTTTGATTGCACCATCCGGGGTAATAACTGGAGTCTTTGAATAAATATTTTATTATTTCTATATATTTATAAATAATTTAATATTTTGATAAATATATATATAAATATCAGTTATGGCAGACAAGCCTTCCTCTCCCATTGCTAACCAATTTCCAAAGGTTCTAGAAAGTCACAAGGAAAGCTCAATGCTGCTGTCTTTTTGACAGCCAGATCTGATGGATCTAGTGGCTTGTTCCTCACACTTTGGGAAAACCTATTTAAATGTATGCCGCATCTGCTTCCATTTTGAGTTATTGGCATTTTTGACACACCAATTGTTTTTCACTCTGGCATAGCTTGTGACCTTACTGGGCTGGGACCCTCAACCTATGCATTGGGGCCTGTTTGTAGCAGCTTCACTGGTGCAAGTTGTTTTTTAGTGACCCATCTTAGGTTATTCCATTTTCATTACGGAAAGCTCTAAAAGACACGTCTACTTTGCACAACTCTGGGATTGGCTCCAGCCCTAACTGATCTCATGATGCTGTCTGTTTTGGAGAAAATGAATCAATACGTTAATGACTCTTCTCCAGTATTTTGTAGATAGTATTTTCCTTTGAATCTCTTGATTTCAGACCTGGCGGGCAGTCTGTTCTACTCATAATAGCAACTCTCACATCTTGGCTCCCAAGTTTAAGCCAAGGATTCCTCTCTTTATCTTTCCTCTTGTTGTGGCCTGCCAGCGGCTGGTGGAGCTGGCAGCAGAGTCGGACAGCGAAGAGGTTGGGGAGGAACCTGGGACAGTCTTGGAGGCTGAGGAAGACTTGGATGAGGAATCTGCATCAGAGGCAAAGATGGGGCCAGGGCAGGCTGGCAGTCATCAGCTGTCTTTGGGTTTGGATAGCAGTGAGGCAGGGGGAGCAGCTGGAACTGGTTCCCAGCCTGCGCATGCGCAGAGCTGCCAAAAGGAAAGAACAATTACAAACTCAGGATCGACGTAGGAGTAAGGCCACAGATGGACGATTAATGGCCCCCTCCCATAAGAATTAAAAGAAGAGCAAAAGGAGAGGGGGCTTTTGCAGGAATCCATTCATTCGTTTGTTCGTTCCCTCATTGTGAAGATCTAGAGACTGTCTGCATCCTAGAGGCTCTGTGCTCAGCCCTTCCTTGTCAGCACTGAGTTTGGAAATATTTACTGGGCAGCTTTCCAAGATAGATAAGGTTTGAGCTCCTAATTATACCCTAGAAAGACTGTTTGCCAGGCCGTTGGCTGAATGGGAATGCAATAAATTCACATTCGTTTAATAAAAGGTGTTTGGTCAGGACAAAGAGTCTGCTTAATGCTTTTTGGGGAAGCAACCCATTCTTTACCAGAAAATATCCCCCTTTCCCCAATCCAGCCACCAGAGCAATTTGCAATAATGGCCACAGCTTTGGGGACATGCACCCAGTAACAAATACAAGTATTGAAAAGGAAGGAAGGGAAAATATGTGCTCACATTTTTATTTTCTTTGTGTGTGGCATGAAAATAGAGGGGACTTTTGTTATATGGTGGAAGTTTGGATGGGGCAGGAGATTAATTCTAAGATGTTCTTTGCACTTGCCTCTTGGAAGCTGAAGGATAAGAAATCAGCAAAAAGGCAACAGAAATTAAGAGGATGCTTGTAAATTGTGCTGTGAATGTTTGGGAGCATAAAACATTGGTGGCATCCTCTTATTTCTCAAACTCATTATCATTTGGTACCCTCTAGTATGGTGAAGTCACATGCCAGTAGTGCAAATGCCATTTTATTAATACTGCCTACTAAATTTGGTTTTTTCAAACCTTCAGCAGACTTGTCGATGGCAGCAAATAATTTGTTTTCTGTATCTCTCTGTTGCCATCCAATGGTTATCTAGATTTCTGTAGTGGTAGCCTTAATTATGGGAATTAAAGTTTAAAATATATTGGATAGCCTTAATTATGTGGATTAAAGTTTAACACACAATTTACTGACTGAAGAAGATTTATCTATAAGATGCAGGAGGATAGGTGAATACAGAAATGACAACTTCAACTGTGATACAAGGTAACTGGCTGGTGCATGGTATCTCTTTTCTCAGTGAATAAACTGGACCTAAATCCTACTGCTAGGAGTAGAATTTATTTCCAGGCACGTGGATTTAAAATGCAATTGGATGGTGTTAGACACTCTCCAGATTTCTGAGCTCCAAGGATTAAGGAAAAGCTTGTATTGCTTTGCCTAAATCAGAACCTGATTTATTGCAAATGGAGCAAAAATAAAGAAGTTTCTCCTACTAGATTGTAAAAATCTTAGCTTTATAAAATACTAACATTCCATGTATCCTGTAGGTTTAGCAGGCTTGATGCTGGAAACATTATACATCTTTTGGCTCCTGACATTGGCATGTTTCTCTTTGGTCTGACTGTCATGCTGCTTTGCCGTAAGACAGTGAAACTCAACAACCGGGAAAGTGAGCTTCCATCTGGAGACCATGATCAGTTCTCTTCGGATGAGGAAGAAGACATGAAAGAGACGGTAGAGATGCTGCATATGTTTCATTTCTTAGTGTAACAGAAACAGATGAAGATTAGAAAAGGAAAGGGAGAGGGTCTTCCTTTATCCTTTATAATAGAAGCAGCCAGTGACTTAATTTACATGATATTCTGAACCTCAAATTAGCAGCCATTTTTTAGCCTTGTACCTTGTGCTATTTTAAACTGTGTTATTTATTTTTATTTCAATGTCTGTTTGTCAGACGTTGTCAAAATGTGTGGCCACAATTGTGCAGTCAAAGCCCTTCATTCTTCTTATATGCATCACATATATACACAAATATGTCATGCAAATCCATAGAACTGAGTTAGTTTCATAAAATATTTGTGCAAATATAACTGTCAAGTATAAATAACATGAATCAAAATCTTAATCTACACAAGTGTAGTATGGTTGGTTAGTTTTTAGCTCAGACTTTTGCATTGAAGACTTTTGTATAGTAACTTATGGCTCAGTCAATTTTGCTTTATTTACTGAACTATGATGACAGAAATTGAGGCTTAACATACTTCAAAGTCTGAGAAATGGGATATAATCAGTTAATTGGAAATGGAAATAATTCATCAAATGAGTTATTTGGCTTGAACTTGAACTTTAAACTACCTAATAATCTGTGTGTAATCCTTATAATTAAGTAGCAATAATTGTGTACAAATGTTTGATTTGGACTCATTAGCCTTCTGTGATACATATCTATTCAGAAATAAATCTGACTAAATTCAGAGGAGCTGAATCAAAGTATAAACATAGCTACAGCCTAAAATACCTTTTAAAAAGATTACATTAAAAACTAGAGAAATTTGCATCTCCTAGATAGATCTCAGTCAAACAAGTGTTGTACTCATTGAAGAGCACAGAAAGAAATATCCATGCTAGATATGTCTAATTTCTCATATTCCTTCCAAAAGTAGATAGCCTTTCCACATTTATCAGATAAGAAAATAGTTTTTTGTTTTGTCTATTTTTAAAAAACAAGACAGCACAGATATATTGAATACATTGGTATATCAACAGAGCCTTTTATTTATTTATTTTTATTATTATTTATTATTTTATTTATTTATTGATTGATAGGGTATCAGTCTTTAAGAAGATGAAATAATCCATCAACATTCCCCCCAATTGGATTTGTTTTAAGTTCTTTATTTGGAGAAACAACAATTCCTTACACAGAATTGTAACAGAATCTCTGGCCCTCCTGTTGTCTGATGGTATTGCTGTTTGTGTTGAGTACAGATTCTTGATCAATATATTGTATTCCATGTCCGCAGGAATCTGAAGCAGAAACTGAAGATACTGAGGACATAGACATTGGTTGTCTGCTTGAAAAGGATTGTTTAAGATGCTGCCATTCAGGTTTCTTTCTGAAATTCACTTTGTTCCTAACAGACTTGGAGATTCTTTGTGAAGACACACTTAGAACTGCTGGCAAAGTCTTCATTATGCTTCTGTTAGGCTCAACAGGTACAAGTTACTTCACATATTTGTGGGGCAGTGGGTTAGGTTAGGCACATAGTGCCCCCACAAGAGGAAAGAAAAGGGAAGGTGATCTTTGGCATTTTTAAATCTGGATACAACAATGGGGTATTTGTATGACAAGATACTACAGATTATACCAAATAGAGAACAGGTATCTCCTGGTTTGTTTCAGTTAATAATGATCCCTCTTTCTCCACATGAAGAAGTCATAAATGGCAAGCTTGGCCCCATAGTAGTAGTAACTTGGAAGTGTTCACTGGACTAGCTTTTGCTTTTCATCTGTGTCTTCCCACATCCGCCAATGCAGACTTCTCCATACTTATTATACATCTGAACTAGACTGTGTTGTTTCTCTGTGCCATGTAATATATGTGGGTATATGCATAATTTTGTATCTGTTTATTTATTTATTTTGTCATGTTTATGTAGCATATATTGGAGGTGGTGACACTTTGAGAGCCATATACAATGATATTTCATTTTAATGTATGCCAATTAGTATACATTCAAAGTGACAATAAAGTTATTCTAAGTCTAAAGTTATTTTAAGTCTATAATGGATGTATATTCCAAGGTGCTTTTCTAAGGCAACTAGACTTTCCTGGGTTTTTTTTTAAAGGAAAAAAAGCATTTAGCTTCTCATCCAAGAAGCTTTTTCAGTTCTTCAGATATTTATTGGATGAGAAAAAAAAACCAACAAATTCCAATTCTCTTTTGGAAAACATTTTGCAACAACCATGACCTGATTGAGAATCTCCATAGACAATGGATGTAAATGTGAGAAGTGGTTTTTTTTACACCATCGTAACTTTGGTCATTAAACGAGACTATTGGTACTGTATATGAGGATTACCTGTATTCCATTCCATTTTATTTTATTTTATTATTTTACTTATTACATCCCGAGAGCTTTTATTTCTATGGAGGTATTCTTAATTTTGTGATGGTTTTCCAATGGTATAAACTGGACTTTATAACCAAGTAAATCATATTTCCTTATCCCTAGGTATAATTCTACCTTCTGCATGCTCAGCAGTTTATTTCTTTACCTTCCTGGGTTTGTGCACCTGGTGGTCCTGGAATTGTCCAATCAGCCCAGTTCTCTTCAATAGTTTGTGTGTTTTTCTTGCAATATTTTCCACGGGACACATCATTGTGCTTTACTTGTACCAACTGCCATACTTCCAAGACCTTATTTCTTCTGAAATCATTTATGTCAGGTAAAAACAAATCTCACAGATGAGAAAGCATGAAGATGAAACCACAATTGACTGTGCTTATTTTATTTAAACTTGATTATCTCAGTCATTTTGGTAGAAGGTAATAAAACCTTGTATTCACCGTATCACTCACTTCAAGTCTTGATTGTAGTTTGCCACTGGAAAAAATGATTTGAGTTGAAGAAGTACAGAGCACATAGCATACAAAATAATTCTGAAATTTTTATTTTGTTTATTTTATCATTATTTCTGTTTAGTTTTAGATTTAGGAAAAGGAAAATAAGAAGAAAAATAAAGCAGGGTGCTTTGAGATCATTATCCTAGGAAAAGCTACCAGTTCTCAGTGCTTCCTATGTACAGGTGCATCTAAATTATTTGCAGAATCATTCTAAGTACCATAATAGTTAAGATTATAGATTTGCTCATTCACATTTATGTATTCACAAATTATTATTTGAAATGGCTCTACTCAGAGGAAAATATTATACATATTTCACTGAATTATGAAGCAGAACAGATATTACCAACTTGCTTGCCCTCTTCAGATGTGTTCAGCATTCTGAAGTTTTGTTGTACTTGACAGGGAATTTTGGAAAATAAAGTCCACCAGATGCACCCAAAAGCAGAAGCCTGAAATAGACTGAAGCAGTAGAACTTGCAGATTCAGGGAAGTTTGCTTTTTAAAATTGTGTTTTATTTGAGGTTGATGTACAGTATATATTATGTATTCCTGATAGCGGGAATCTAATCTGACCAATGATTAGCTCGGCAGGTGTAGTAATTACAATAGAAAGTTGTTTGGTTCTATAATTATAACAGAAAATATGGTAGAATGTTAAAGTTTGAAGATAGCTCTGAAAATAGTATTTGGCAACCATTATGGAAACACCAGCTTAGCCTGGCAAGGGAGGAGGAAGTGAGAAAGACACTCAAGATTGCTCTGTTTGTATTTTCTTGGGCATCACTTGGAAGAAGGGGAGGGAGAGAGAACCTGTCAGGTTTTCAAGATTAAAGCTATTTTTTTCAAGCAGTCCAAATCAGGAAAAAGTTTATCCAAACTCTATTTTTTAATTACAAGATATAATAAGAGAAATCTAGCACTCTGACACTGTTTCCTTTACATTCCCTCTTTTTTTCAAAGCTAGGCAATTTTGAGTTTTTTCTGACTCCCTCTTCTCAGGCTAAACTCTTGTTTATGCAACACCTTTTCAATCACTTGTTCAAGGACATCTCTGTTCTTGTTCTACATATGCATGGAGCAAAGCCTAACATCTACATTGCTATAACCTATCAGGGAGAGAGTCAATGACTTGTGTTCTCTTTTTGTATGCCTGGGAAGAAAGATAGAACAATTTGAGCCAGATTAACAGTCTCTGAGAAAAAGAATGATGAGCAAAGAATGATGAGCAAAGAAGACACAGAAAAAATCCTTAATGCCATGTATCAACATGATACATGTGATCAACTGGTTAGGATTAAATTAGATGTTGAGGAATTAGTTCTCTTGGATCCACTCCTCCAACATGTATGAATCTGAGTTTTTTATTCTGTTTTATTTTAAATCTTTGAACAAAATAAACTGGAGCATCAAAAAGAAAAAAAGGTAATATATTGCGTAGTTCTGCAGAACATTTTGTGACTTTCTCCTTTTGCTAGAGATGACACTGTCCAGAACTGTAATCCTTTAATCTGTGCATTAATCATATTACAAAGCCAATATGTTTTAACCATGTTGTAAGTCAACAAGCCATATAGATTGGCTTGTATGAAATGGTAGTAAAAATTCTGTGTTATGACTTACTGTTGCACTATTGCATTGACCTATTAAGAAAGCTGAATTGATACTGCTGTTATTATGTAATGATGATATATTAGTAGACTAATATATTGTGGCCCTATTATTTTTCATTTTTATAAAAAAAATAATTCTCTGCAGATTTTCTTCTATTGTCTTTTTCTCTAGGATCTTGGGCATAGTACCACTTATTAAGACAAACATTACTGCACCTTGGAAACTGCATATTCATCCTCACCTAAACTGGCCAGTGGCTTTGAATCCTTTTTTCCTTCTTGCCCTGTATTATTTATTGGTCAGAATGTTGCAGCAGTGGACAGTGCCTGCTAAGGTATGGTGTATATTAAAATTAAGTATGAATAAGTGAGACCTTTGAGATTTCCTCTCAAGGATACAGAATGATTTAATTTGGCTTATATTCCTGATCTTATTATTAGTGGAAGATATTTCTTCTATTTTAGTCACAAGTTTTTTAAAAAATATTTGATACACACACATGCACTTATGTACACTCATGTACATAGCTACTACAGTACAAGCATATTTAACTCAGTCTTCTGCTCAAAGGACACATGAGATAATGCAAGAAGTAAAACATAATCCCTATTAGCTACAGCAGTTATATTTAATAACCATGGATATGCTAAATAATTTATTATGACATTAGTCAGGTGAATAAACTGCATGTTCTATTAAGCAGAACGTAGGTTTCAGTTTTTTACCATATTGTTTCTAGTGCCTCAGGGGAAACCTCCCCAACTCTGTTGCAGTCTTGTGTTAGTTCTGCTAAGAAGATACATGTATTAGATATTGCCAGTAAATCAGATTACAATTACAATGCCTGCAATGATCCTAAATTCTATAATCAACCTTTAAAACTAGATGATCTATTCTAATTGTATGAGATCTCATTTAAAAAGCAAAGGATGCACACAAGAAAGAGAAACTGGGTTATTTGGCTAATATCAAGTATCAGGCTTTTAGCTGAGAGAAAAATGGCAGAAATAAAGGGCTATGAGAAGATAGTCCTAGCTACTGAGAAGATTCTACATTATTTACTTTTATACCTTCTGTTCCTTAAAGAGATCACTTCACCTGCTATAAAATGATTATAGATCCAGGTTTAAACATATAGCTCAGGTTGGGTGTAAACTATGGACATAAAAATAGTATGTTTTATTGTTTTCATGATGGCTTTCCTCCATTTAAATTCATGCATCATATAGGGATCCAAAGAAGTTATTCAATTTCATTCTGAAGACTATGTAGAAATTAAGATGCATTCTACGCTTCAGGTGAGCATGGATGCCAATGGCAAGGTAAAATGCTACCGGTATTAAAAATTCTGTAGTGATCATAATCCTTGTCAATGAAATCACTTAACAATAACCCAGGGTGTTCAGGCAAATAATTTCTTGATATAGGGACCGTTTTGGAATCCTTGGAGTGAGAGAGATAATTAGAGAAAAACACTCTATGGCCCTTTATTGCTGCCTTCTAAAAATAAATCTTCAGGTGTACATAAGAAAAAAATACAATATGAAGTGAAGACTGATAAAATGAAAAAAAATGGTCCAATGAATTTTGATTTGTTATTAGGTATTGGGAATAGTGTTTGTATGGATAGTTTGCTATTTGTTTCCAGTTATGTTCAAGTTGTACATATATCTTGTACTTTTCAATAACCCAAAGTCTCTAGTTTATCTTCCCAAGATAGTCCATAAAAGTTCTTACTGTAGCATGCCTGTAACCTAGATTAGGCATAAGAGGCACAGTGCTAAGAGCCTATGAAACTTTTGGGACCTAACAAAAATGAAAATAATAATAATAATAGTGCTTTTAGACAAAAGAAAAGGTGTAGCAGTGTTTTTACCTTGAGTGTGATACCTCTGTAAACCCCCCCTCTTTGTATAAAATAAAAACACTTCCATTGTTTGTCTAGGTGGCTTCTCTTTCGAGTGAAATTCCACAGGAATGCTTCCTTTTGCAAAATCAGAATCATAGCAGTTGCAGTATGGATGGCTGTATTAATCAAGGACACAGAATTTCTCTATCAGGTATACTGTACATAGCATATTGCATGTTGTATATTGAATGCCAGATCATTCTGTTTGCCCTAAAAAAATACTATACAGAGAAATAGTTACTACACTGATGCATAGAGCATCTATACTAACAACAGAGAAATATATCATTTTAACAGAATAGCAGAACAACAAAGTTGGAAGGTACCTTTGAGGTCTTCTAGTCCAACCTCCTGCTCAAGCAGGAGACCCTATACTTTTCCAAGTAGTTGTCCACTCTCTTTTTAAAAGCTTCCAGTGATGGAGCACTCACAACTCCTGGTTTATTGTTCTCACTGTCAGGGTGCTTTGGAAAATAGGTTGACCCCCCTCTTCTTTGTGTCAGTTCCTCAAGTGTTGGAATACTGCTATCATCTAAACCTTCTTTTCACTACTAGACTGGACGTACCCAATTCCTGCAACCATTCTTTTAAAATCTAACATTTAAATATTTAAAATATTTTATTTTAATGAAATATTTGTTTAATATTAAAATAATTGAATATTTATTTTATAGTAAATAATTAAAAATAAACAATTAAACATCTTGTAATATTTATTTAATATTTAAATATTAAATATTTAAACATTTAATATAATAGATTTAATTTTTTTAAAATCTAACATTGTTGCATGAACTTCAGGATGCATGGAATGTTAAAGCAGAACCAAATGCAAAATGTAAAATGCAGAATGTATGGTCAGATTGTTTTTCTGACAGTTATTTCACTCAAGTATCATTAGTTTTGCATAGAATTATTGCAAAAATATTTCCTGTCTGCTATTGTCTTCTGAATATCTGTGCATGAATGTTTTGAACAAATGCTAATGTATCACTGCCAATTAATTGTAATACTTCTTGCATTTGGTGAAATGAACTTGAATCCATAAATAACTGTGCTTAGGCATTAGACCATGTCATATTCGTGACACAAGGGCCAGGATTAATCCCAGGCATGTCCAAATAAGTCTATAAGAAAATCCGTCTAGCCTACAAGCTGCTTCTAATCATGGTCTTTAATCCTGAATTATATGGTATGATTCAACATAAGGCAACTTCTTATTCTCCTGAAAGTAAATTACATTAAATCTATTATTCTTGAAGGAGCCAGTAGCTCTTTGTTACTATCAGAAAATGTGGACACTTACCACATATTTTTATTCATATTTATGCCCTGCAGGAGTGTTGGACTATAATTTCAGTCAAACTCAGCATGTCATGTTTCATCAAATCACCTATAGTGATCAATATAGGTCATTTATAAGGGAGATTTATAAGGAAATGAGTAAGAGAGCCCTTGCGAGTCAGTTGATTTTACCTTTCAAATACCCACTCCTAAGACCCCTTTTAAGTATTAGTTTCAATGTAACAATGGTTTGCTGGAAATAGAAGGCAGAATCGGAGGAATGAGTATGTATAGCACAGAAGTAAAACACTGAATAAGAAAATGCTCATATATAATTAATGCTTGTTCCTCATTTCCTTCCTCCCTCCCTTCCTCCCCCCCCCCTTTTTTTGAATTTTTCAAAGTGAGTTTCAAGGACACTGGGTTGTTTTCACCAAATAAAATAAATTGAAAACGGACTTCAAGAAACCTGGACATTACTTGTAATTTGTCATTTTTCCAAATTTATATATTTTGCAGAGCACACAATATATTCTGAAACCTCACAAGAAGTTAATGAAAAATGTAACATGGAAAAAAAATCTGGTGCATTCTTAGCATTGGCACAATTCATTGCAAATCAGAGCTATGTCATTGCATTGATTACTATGATGGTAAGAACTTCCTTTTGTGGTCTTTTTAAGAGCTGTTACCAGCATCAGCAACCAGGCATCCCTGCATTGCTGTTTTAGAGAACCCATTGCCTTTCAAATGACCAGAAGCATTTCCAAGTTGGCTGTGTACTTTCTTAATAAATCAAATTTTCAAAGTCATCTGAACAGGAATTTGGGGAATTATTAATTTGCATATCTGAATGCATATCTACTTTGAACTTGATTTTGCTCACCCTGTTCACAATCTTATGATGTTATGCTTTCCACTTCTCCATTTAAAAGGCTCGTGTCTTAAATCAAAATTATACCATAATGATATTTATGTGATTATTCTGGAGTTATATTTAGGTATATTTTTGTATAAAGTTGTTAAGATTAAAATTATGGCTTCATTCATAAAATAGGGTTAATCTAACTATTGAATGCATCCACATTCAAGATTTGCACAATATACTAAACATAAACTAACCAAATGCAGTAAGTTTGCACATGTTACACTACAAAAGGTGAACATCAGAGAAGTACATTCTACAAGTGCATCTGGTAGATAGTCAATTAAGAGAGAATAATATTTGCATATAGCAAGGACAGATGGGACAACCAATAGAGAGGTTATGAATTGTATAAAACTAGAAATATCACTAGAAGCCAAAATCACAAGGCTACGCCTGATTTACTTTAGCCAAGTCATGTGTGCAAATTCATTGGGGAACTGCTAGGATGGTTAGTGGATCAAAAAGAAGAAGCAATCAAAGAACTCGATGGTTTGATACTATCAAAACTGATACAAAGATAAACATTCAACAACTAAAAGAACTGTGCTTGATACGGTAACATGGAGAACATTTGCCTATAAAGTTGCCAGAAATCAGACACGAATGTAGCAGAATGAAATGAATATAAGAAATGTGTCTTGTTATATACTGGCTATATTTTTACTGTCCTATTATCCAATTGGTCTATGAAACTGCAATTTTATCAAAATCTGTCTGCTTTAAAATACATAATTGCTATGTATTCATTCATAGGTTTGGAGTATCACCTACAACAGCTGGCTAACTTTTGTTCTGCTAATCTGGTCCTGTATAATTTGGATGGTACATGACCGTCATCTCTATGCCTTGCGCAGTTTACCTTTTCTTGTCATCTATGGAAATGTACTGGTGATTCTTAATTTTATTGTGGGACTGAATCTTTCGCAAGAGGAATTATTTCCAGGAGTAGCAACTTCATTACTCATTGACTTAGATTTGAAACCTTATTCTCTTCCCTGTGTCCATCTGGGAGCCAAGGTAAGCATATACTTGCTAAAATGAACTGCTACTTCAGTCTAGTGGCATTAAGCTAGAAACTGGGAGACTGTGGGTTCCAGTCCTGCCTTAGGCATGAAAACCAGTTAGGTGATCTTGGGCTAGTAACTTTCACTCAGCCCAACATACCTCACAGATTGTTGCTATGGGGAAAATAGGAGGTGGAAGAACTATTAGATATTTTTACTACCTTAAATTGTTTATTAAAAATAATACAATATAAACAAACAAGCAATAAGTAAATACATTTCCAAAAGACACTCTTTATACCCTCCTGTCCTTGTGATCAGTAGAGGTTGCAGGGTGCTGAAGAGACAGTAAAATTGAAGGCATGCTTCCAGTGCTGGCTAGTTCTCATGTACATATTCCTCATTAAAATACCTATGTGGTTCTGTTGCAGATTTTATATCAGTTAACTTTCTGGTTATTGTTGAGGCAGTATGTGATGCAAATACAGAAGCAAAAAGAGGAGGAATTTCTTAAAGAAGTGATAGTACATCAAACTGGTAAGAACATTGGGTAAAATTACCCTGATCCTTTGCCCCTCTCTTTAAAATGGATTTTAAAAGTTTTCATTCAGTCCAGGAATGGTGGCAGAGAAATTAAGTTAGGAAATAGTCCTAAGTTATACAAAGAAAGATTCTATCTGATGGTTAGGGGAAAAATCTACTTTATTGTAGAAGCAGTTTGAGAGTACAACTTATTTAGGGGTTTTCTAAGATATGTTTAGGTTGAACCTGGGTAGCCATGAATCATGAATTCTTCAATTTGGATTTTTTTGTAACTCTGGAGAAGTATTTGTCAGTTGAAAACTTGCTGGCTGTAGAATTTGCCAAAGTTGAGAAACACTACTAGGGCTTATAAACTATGTTTTTCTATTGGCTTTGGTCTTGCTTCACCATATCTCAAGGCAGATAGGTGTACTTCCGTCTCTTCTACAACTTCACTGCAACTTCAGTATGTCAGGAGAGAAATACAGGCAACCCTATTAGTGAACTTAAACTTAATCTTTCTACTCTATTTCACAGCCTTCATTTAAAAAAAGATTGATTTCCCTGTTTAAAAATCAGTGAGTTGAGCACCAGATTCTGCTCCCCACACCTGCTCCCAATTTCTGGGTTCAAGAAATCCATTATTCTCACCACCATCTCATAGCATTGAAAGCATATATGTGTGTATGCCCATGGATGCATGCTAGCTATTTTTTTCTTTCTATTGACTGAGGTCAAAATTATTTGTATTATTCTGGAAGCCAGGGACACTCAGTGGCTATGTTTCAGTCTCATTTTTTGTACTCTTCTATTGGTGAATGAAAGGGAAAACAATTTGACTCATGTGGTTTGGAACCACTAGGCATGGGGAAGATTGATGCTGCATTAAAACTGGTTGGAAAGGGAGTGAAAACTGTACAGTCTGAAAATGAATAAGTCTATTAGAATGAACAAGAAGAATATGCATTGTTGGGGATGAGACAGATGCTATATACATTATGCTTTGTATAAATAGAAAAGTTCAATAAAGCATAGGCATTAGATGTAAAATATTTCATTCTTAAGAAAAAAGAGGGGGCATATATGCATATATAGGTAGCATTTCAGTGGAGGTGGAGGAAAAATGGGTATTCTGTGCTTATTCCAAGCTCAGTCTTATTTAGAGCTGTTCAGTAGGAAATCCCATGGAATCCAATGAGACTTGTGGCTAAATAAGCATACTCTGGATTATAATATTATACCATAAATAGTTAGTCAAATGCAATGACATTTATCCTAAAAAGTATTCTGGTCCATTAACTATTAATGATGCTCCTGATTGAATGTACATTCCTGTTGCAGAAATGGGCACATCGCAAAATCTGATTATAGAAATACTCAGTTCTATATTTAAGAGGATCCTAGTAAAATACTGGATATACTTCTGTTCCATCATGTTCTTTATTGTCAGCTTCAATGGCAAAGTGGTCCTGTATAAAATTCCTTACGTTATATTTTTTCTGTTCTGTGTGGCTTTATATCAGGTAAGCAGATCTGGAATTTGAGACTTCTGTTTGATTCCTAACATCTGAAGGGGGAAAAAAGGACTGCCAAATCAAATCTGTTAGTTTGCAGTTCTTTTGATGCTTTATCTTTGAAATTTTAATCTTTTTCTATTTCTACATTAATTTGTAATTTGTGTGGAAGTTTGCAGAAAAATACATTTCCGTGTATTTGTATATTTTTCCCAAAGGTGTATAACTATCTGTAATCTTATATCACATTCCAGGTGCTATTCTATTTGCAAAAGTGACTTAGAAGTACTTTAAAATTAGTTCATTCCTTGGCTTCAGAAATGCATGCCTGTGATAGATTCATATTAAATTACAATAAAAATAATCCCCTTATTCTATAGTCTAGCCATGTTATTTTAATTCACATGGGAGAAACTGTCTATGCCTCATAAAGTAGCTATGATTACTGAGAGTTTTCTTTTTTTAATTTCTGAGGATTGCACAAGAAGTTGAAATTTCTCAGGAAAGAAAATAATTGCAGACCCAGTACATTTGTGTATAGATGCATTTTGATATCAATATAAAGACAAATGGACTTTGAAAACTCTGTAGCTCAGCTTGATTTGTTGTGACTCTACTATAAGCCTTCCAGTAGGTTATTTGATTATATTCAATACTAAGGCTACAAAATTAAATTTGTTGGTTCTAGATTCATTATGAAGGATGGCGACGAATCCTGAAGGGATTTTGGCTGATAAGTGTCTCCTATTCAATGATAATCCTCATTGCTTTATATACTTACCAGTTTGAGATGGTTTCTGAATTTTTCCTAAAAACTTTGGAAATATCAGAGGAAAGGTAAGAACTTTAATTTAAGATTCTATATTGCTATTGTATCTTGAAATTTTTTCCCCAGATTCTCTTGTGTTAAGAAACAAATAAAGAATGTGTTGTGGTATTAAAATATAAATGCCAGTACTAGATGAAGTCAACTACATCTTTCAAATCTTCTCCAAATCTAATTCAACTATGGGCACGTCATGGCACACACATATGGCCCTGAATGAGGGTGACTTACAATGAGTCCTCAAAGTTCCAGTAATTGAAATGTACTTGCATCACCTGATTGTGATACAGGTGTTTAGTAACTAGCCTGCAATTACAGTGTTGCAACACCTCACCATTTGGGACCTACACAACCAAAGGCAATGGCCATCATGATTAAAATGGCATTGGATTTGCTTAAGTGTAGGAACTGGAAGTGCTGAAATTTGAAATTCCAGTCCCAATTACCATTCTGTAGTAATATAGAAGTGGGTTGTTGTTTTTTTGTCAATTTCTCAGTCTGATAGGTAGCTCTGGTATGCCTTGTGGGAGTTAGATTTAAGGTGTAATAAATTATTGGGAAAAGGCCATATAAATGATGGAAATGAGGCAATGCAAAGCACAGATATATTTATTATTAGATTGTTCTTTTATCCCACCTTTATTACTTTACTCATGCTAGTGAACATATATAATACTCCTTTCTCCTCCTATTTTCTCCATAACAATAAGCCTATGAGGTGAGGTGAGGTGAGGTAGAAAAAGAATAACTGACCCAAAATCACTTAACTGACTTTCATGCCTAAGGCAGAACTAGAACTTGTGGTTAACCACCACACCAAACTGGGTTTCATATGTATATGTGCATATATGGTGGGTCCTGTTAGGTTATACAAAGTGTCAGGTAAGAATTGCTTACTGAGATTAATAATATGGCAATGGGAAATTTTAGCTACATTCTGTTGCTTTTTAAATCAATAAGGTTGAAAAATGCCTCTAGTATTCCTTGGAATTTCTAAATGGAGGCTCATCACTGATTATCTTCTTTGCCCAGAGAAGGGTATCTAAAGGAATTTAACAGATAACAGATCGTCAGAGTTGGAAAGGACCTTGTAGGTCATCTAGTCCAACCCGCCACCCGAGCAGGAGACCCTACACCATTTCTGACAGATGGGAGTCCATTCTCTTCTTGAAAGTCACAAGTGATGGCGCTCCCACAACTTCCGAGGGCAAGCTGTTCCATTGGTTGATTGTTCTCACTGTCAGAAAGTTTCTCCTTATTTCCAGGTTAAATCTCTCCTTGTTCAGTTTCCATCCATTATTCCTTGTCTGGCCTTCAGGCGCTTTAGAAAATAGCTTGACCCCTTCCTTTCTGTGGCAGCCCCTTACTTTCTGTAAGAGGAAACAGCTGGCTAAGCTACTCTTGATGCCTTTTCATAATAGGGTTAAATAGTTAGACAAGTTACTTGGCCTAGTTATTAGGTTCAATCAACACATTATCCCATGAGATGACATTTCTTCTTCTTTAGGGAAAAGTGTTCTTTGGAGAGCTGTATCAGATTATTACATATAAGTCCTGTCAAAGTTTTTTCCTGCAAAGACCTATGAGCTACACATTTAGAATATTATTTACAGAAATAACTTTCCACATTCACCCTATTTACCTGTTAAATACAGAGCTGTTGACAGGACTATAATGAGCTAGATTGAGGCCTGATGGGTAGTCAAGGTGGCCACAGGTGTGCAGGTTCACACTCATATTGTCCTGAAATATGTTTACCTGATAAAGGTTAGAGAATGCCCCTTTTCTCCAAATAACTGGCTAGGGTCATCATTCTTTTAAATTAATAATTATACATATATTGACATGTTTAATATCTGTAATGTGAAATAATTCTTTTCTTCCTTTTCATCAGCTGACTCTGCATATATTTTTGTCTTTTCATTTGGCAGATTAAAAGATTTGGGCCTTGAGTGGTTCAGCACAAAGGAACTTTTTGCAAAGATTATATTACTCTGTGCCTTTCTTCTGGTTTGTATTGTTCAGCTGCATTATTTCCATAAAGATTTCCTGAATATCATAGATCTGACCAATATTTCTGTGAATCCATCTTCTTCATCTGCCAGGTATTATATGCAGACTACTGTATTTAATCTGCACTCTATAATAGAAAAGATATCGATGGATGGGTGTTTGAGTGTGAGAGACAGAGACAGAAAAGAAAAAGAAATGGAGAAAGGAAGAGAGAAGGAAAAAGAAGAGAGAGAGACACACACACAGAGAGAAACTCCTCTTTAGAAATAAATATGTTTTAAGTATATGTATTCTTAGTAATGAATCTACAGTATGTGTACACACACCTTCCCTTTTGATTGGCTTATTGGGTCATGGAACTAATAACCCCTAGGAACTTTTTTTTTTGCTCTACAGAGATGGCAAGGTAGATTATTTTTGCTTCATATCCAGTGACGGTTTTCAAAGTGGTTTACCACCACTTTGGTGGGTGTGGCTAGGTGGGTGTGCTCACGCGCACACACGCCAAATGCACAGTTTGCGCATGCACAGAGGCTTTCCTACTCACCTCCTGCAATGCTGCACGCTCCTTATGTCTTCAACAGCTGACACACAGCAATCTGCTGTGCTGCACAAAGCAGCTACACTTCAAAAGCAGGAAATAAAGGTCATTATGGGAACCCGGGCAGGCGGTTGGGCCCAACAGAAGATCATCTGAGAGAACTAGTTTGGTCTCAGCTGACCTTCAGAGCTACTGGCTCGGCAGAACCGGGCCGAACTGGTAGCATCCCATTTCTGTTCATACCTCCTGTATTTCATATGGAAAGTTAATTGCTCAGGGATAGAATTTCTTGCAAATAAATAGCTCCAAAGCTAGCCCTCAGGACATGTTGCGTTGAGCGACCGGTCTGTTGTTTAGATCTTCAGGTTGATTG